GTTGTGTGGGCAAACGGGGCAGCCAATTTGCACACAACAATATTCCACAAACAGTCATTAAGTGAATGATCAATTTTATCTGAGAGATTATTGGTCAGGACAGACACCAAGAAAATCATCCTTCTCTCTTTAAATAGTGCCATGTGATCTTTAATGCACACCCGAAGAGAAAAATGGGACCTCAGGTTAACATTTCACTCAAAAGACGCTACTTGCTTTGTGGAAAAGTCCAAATAGCACTTGCCATGCTCCCCGAAGCTGGTGAAACTGCTCAATTCGAGTCTTAATCACAGTTAAAAAGCATAGTCAACTTCTAATAAAATTTGAATTGTGAATTGAGTATGCACCACAGCGACACATGTCCTAATAAAAGACTGTTCCCTGGCTCACTGGCAGAGCCTTAAATTTCAGAGAACAGTTTGTTTCCAAAGACAAACCTGAAGTTTGGATTTCCCTGACTACTCATTCCTCTCAATCATACTATTGTTTTTCCTCCTCTGAATACTATCCTAACTCTCTGTCCAAATTAAATGATCCAATTTAGCATAATATTTCTAAAATCACTTTCTGCTGCCATTTATCTTGTTCACTGGTGTGATAACGTTCCTCTAATCTGGTTAGAATGACGGGTACTTAATGCTGATATATGATACTCATAGTATTCAAAACTGGTTAACATAGTCACGACTGTATTCATTTGAATGCATTTGTATTTGTGCAGTGGTGTTCAATATTTCCTTCTTTGGAATATTATCATTTACTTCATAGTTGTTCATGGTAATTCACTTCATGGCTGTTTGTAGGACATTGCTATGCATAAATTGGCTGTCACATTTGCCTACAAAATGCACAGTCACTACACTTTACAGAAAATTACTTGAAGCAGTTTGAGACATCCTCCTGATGTGGAAGAATACAAGGATTATTATTATTATGAGAGAGCGTTTTGACAATACAACAATGAAAACTATAATATGTTTCTGGTTTCAGGCATTTTATTTTACCATCTTTCCACTGTATTGAGTCATCCTTTTGTAAAAAAAATCTGTATCCAATTTGCTTTTATTGTTATCATTGAGGCACAATGACATGTTCGGGTTACTCAGCAGTGACTGAGAAAAAATATCAACAGTTCAAGATTAGTATTGTATGTGATAGTTGTGCATGAGTGCAGTTCATACTCTATATCGGAAAAGGAATTTCACAGGAAGTCGAAACTAAAATGTCTCTGACAAGGATCCAATACTTCAGACTGAGCACAATAACATTTTATTTAAGTTTTGATTGTTTTATGAATGTGCTTGTTGAGCTCCTTTGGAGCAGTTGATGATTTGCAACCGTTTCCTTATAAAATGATTAGCTGTTTATGCAGTAAGTCTCTTTCTGTTTTGGTTCACCCACGAATACAGTCACTCTACTTCCCAGTAAATTCATGTGAAGTGCTTTGGGAAGTCCTCCCGCCATGAAAGGTGCTATACCAAATGCAATGATTAGTATTATTATTACTGTATTAGTTTTAGCAAAGTGTGTCTCACTGTCTATTTCTTTGTTTTGACAATGTGCAGCATTCAAAACAGGTGATATTGAATTACGTTGCACCAAGAATGCCGAATGTGTTCCTGTGACCTCAATGCGTAACGCATCAGTGAACTGCGTCATTATTCACAAAACTAATAAAACAGCTTAAACTCCACAACAGTCAACAACACTCATGCGTAAATAACCACTTGGGCAAGATCCTGTGGGTGTCTGAAGAACTGTACCCCAGTAAAAAGGGTAAAAAAAGTCAAAACCTTTAGGAGAGGAGGCATGTTAAAAGGGCTCTTAGTGCCTGATCCATCTATATCATGGGCAGAGTGCATTGAAGAGTAATTTGGCTGAACATCATTGAGGTGTAACCAGTATCTGGCAGGTTGCAAATGTTGTGAATGTTCTCGTGGATATCATGGACTGGAATGCACCAGGATGGTAATAAGAGGGAAAAAACTCAGAAAATTTCTTGTGCAACAAATTTAAAAACCTTTCCTTCCCAACTTAATAATACAATAATAAGTCACTACACTTTACAGGAAATCCTCTGAATTGCTTTAACACATCATCTTGATGTCAAGTGCAAGAACTATTGTTAGTAGTATTGCTTTAAAAAAAACATAAAGAGAAATCAATGTTGCAAAAACAGCTGAACAGAAGCCCTATTTTAGATTGTGACATACTCAAGAGAAAGCAGTAGGACAGGTAACATTTCTTTGTATTGTGCAAGAAACAGTTATTTTTTCTTTCGGTTTTCCTTTATCAGGTTTCCTACAGACAAGGAACAGATCTCAGCAGGGTCATGAGGTCCGGTTAGACTCCAGGGAAAAATAACAGCATCAGGGTGTCAGGTAACTCATGTACTGAATAGAATCAGATTACCAATTAACATTGGATAGAATATTATTACAGAAAATAGTTACACAGGACAATATTAAACTATTAGGCAGAACTGACACTGGATATTATTTTCTCACTGATTCAATAGGTCTCTTTTTAAAACAAACTCTTTTATAATTTACATTTATGTTGAAAAAGCAGCTGTAATTGAAATGTATGATAAACATGTGATATTGCCGGGTAAGGAGGCTCCGTGGGATAAGCTATTTCCTGGCACAACTTGTGCCAATCATAAATACAACAAGTTACATTGTTTGGTTTGAGTTCACAGTTCCAACAATAGTTCCATCACTGGTGTTAGTGGCAAAGGTATCTGATATCATCAGCTGCTGTGTGTACACCACCCAGAGAGATGGCATCCAATGGACACAGTGGCATAAATCCTTCCCCAAATGGCAACATAAACATAAGTGGACCTGCAATTGGAGCTTGTCATCCTTTTTTGTGACCACAGTTGGGGAACTAAGGCTTGTTCCTTGCAAGCCTTTAAGCAATATAAACAGGACACCCTCAACAGCACTTGGGATTTGGAGCCTGAAGCACTCTGCAAATTTGGAGGAAATTTGCAGGATATTTCAGGAATAGAACCACTTTGTAAAGCAGCCTAAGGGTGTTGCTGTTTGCCTCTGTAGGGTAGAATCCAATTCATTTGTGTCAGCATCAAAAATAACCTCACCAGCTGGAACATGCACAGGTTGCAGTGATTTCTGGAATGCAGACCGAATGCAAAGCTGCCACCATTGCAATTTTTCGCATTGTGATCCAGAACATTTAAAATCAGGAGAGGGAGGGCTTCAGACAACACTGAAAACAGAGTCCTTCAGCTTGGAAACAATTGGTCCTGTCAAGCAGTTGCAGATTTACACCACCTGGGGAAAAAGGAAACATGGCTGCCAGAGCACCACTGTGTTCATACTGTAATGCAAATGCAGTTCTCAATGCACTTTCAGGTGATGCCGGTCTACACCACTGCTCCCATGTGACTAAACTGCAGGGTTTGGGGGGGAATGGGCAGGTAAATGGGATTAAAATGATAGCTGTTAAAACAGCCAACATGCACAGACACGATGGGCCAAATGGCTTTCTTTCATGCTGTAAATTTCTACGGTTCTGCATCTTAAATACATCATCACTATCTGATATATGGGGAGGGAGAGAGATGATGAATTGTCTAATAATTTAACCTAACAAGTCTATCAAACTCTGGTCACCTGGCTCTGGAAGTTTGAAATATCCAATCAAATGGTTGGAATTAAAAAAAAATCGAACTTGTCTAATTGGATTATTGAATTTAAAAGAAGCTGTTGGTCTTCAAATTAAACCCTCCTGCCCTCCATTTTTAAAAAAACTAGGGGCTCTAATCTTTAGTATCATTAATTCAACACTTGGTCTGAATAACATTTGGATTCAGAGCTTTCGCAGGTTATGTTGAATTGTTATCATTATTATTGACAATAATTCCAGAGAAAATGGGTTGCAATCGTTCAAAATAGGATTCACGACAGGTTTGTTCACACAAACTACGGTTTCTTCCAAGCGAAGTGAGGATGTCGGGTTGGGTTTCGTCTTCTTGGGGTCCTGGGAGTACGGAACCATTGGCATCAAGTCAGGTTATCAGTGGTTCACCATTGGTGCTTGAACCAAGAAAACGTTTCAATATCCATAATGTACGCGTGCGTACGTTTCGTACCTTGGAAGGAAAGCCGAAGAAAAGCGATTACTTTGGCCACTGATCCGACTTTGCTTTGTATCATAAAACGGGGGCACAATTGGGAGTCGAGATCAGCGACAAAAGTCTCAGCTTTTGTTCATTGGTACCAGATTTGCATCAGGGAGAACGGGAGGAAAATTAAAGGAAAAGCAGGTGGGGTGAACGGACTCGAAAATCAAGACGAGCTGAAAGAACCTAAGACGAGAAAGGCGGCGATGAAGGAGGAAACACACTTGGGGGTGGGGTGGGGAGGGGGAAATCAATTAAAACAGCAACATTACAGTCACATCTCCATCAAATAACTGTGGGCCACGCCATCAAATCCACCAACAGATGGTCGAGAGAGAAATCAAAGTAAAAGGCTGGAAAGAGTATTAATGATGAGAATCGGTTTTCCCGAATAGACAGTGTGTGTGTGTGTGTGGGGGGGGGGGGGTGAGGATTGGAGGCTGGAGCTGCAGGGCTTTAAGGTGGAGCCCCATAAAACAGCATCATTCATTGCAGACACTGAGCCATTGACATCCCCCCCATCCTGTCCCACCATCGGATGCAACGAGCGTAATTTTTTTTTCGTTCCACATCTCCTCCCTCTCTTTCTTTCCCTCCCTCTCTCCCTCCCTCTCTCCCTCCCTCCCCTCCCTCTTTCTCTCTCTCCCTCCCTCCATCCCCATCTGCATTAAAGCCGGAGACTCCAGACAACAGCCACACACACAGAGCCGAGAAAGAAGCCGCCGGGAAACACGACGAAAGACTACTGTAGCCACTGAGAGAGAAACAAAGTAGCCACAAAGGAAGAGAAAAAGAGAGAGAGAGAGAGAGAGAAAAGCAACTCAGTCAACACCCCCTCACTCCCCCTCCCTCACTCCCCCTCCTCCCGAGGCAGAGATGGGACTGGAGAGAGGAGTAAAGCAGCCGCAATCGGGGGCTTAAAACTACGCGGTTAAGAGGAGCCGCCTCTCCCCCCCCAACACACACACACACACACACACACAACCCCCCCGTGAGGACCCGCCATGGCCAAGCAGTATGATGTGCTGTTCAGGCTGCTGCTGATCGGAGACTCCGGGGTGGGAAAGACTTGTCTGCTGTGTCGATTCACGGACAACGAATTCCACGCTTCACACATTTCCACGATAGGTAAGAGAGGGGGAGAGAGAGAGGGAGGGAGAGAGGGAGGGAGAGAGAGAGGGGGGAGAGAGAGAGGGAGGGAGGGAGGGAGAGAGGGAGGGAGGGAGGGGAGGCTTTGTGTTCCAGGCACTGCTCAGCCCTTTGCTAAACCCAACCCTGTACAGAGATCTCTTTTGTGCACAGCTCTCTCTCTCTCTCTGTGTGTGTGTGAGAGAGTGTGTGTGTTGGTTTCAATGGGGCAGATGCAGGTTGGGAGGGAGATTGCAACCAGCGCCTGGTCCTTCAGCACTCTTGTGGGGTTGGGGAGGGAGGGGGAGGGAGGTGGTTTGGGTTAGTTGGTGACAAATCGTGCAAACTTTACAGTTATTTAAAACGAGGGGGAGTTATGTGTATGTGGTGGTTGGGGTGGGGGGGGGAGAGAAGAGCATTGCTTGTGGAGTTTGAAAATAAAATGAGGGTGTTTTATAGCTGTTTCCAAACCACACAGAGAGAGGGGGGCACAGAGCAGATGAACTTAGATGGTTGACAGTAGGGGATCTGGGATGAACTCTTCCAAATGTGGCAAGGATTCCTGCAGCTCAGTGGTTACAGCACTCGCTTTGCAAGTGAGAGACCTGAGTTCAATTCCAGGCAGAGGGCAAAACCTTGGGCAAGTTTCCTTACTCCACACAGAGCCTAATAATAATCCGTCCCAAAAACCATAATAAAATTGGTCATTTTCAATCTACGATTGTTTGTGGGACATTGCTGTGCGCAATTGGCTGCCGCGTTCGCCCACAAATATACAGTCAATTCACTTTACAATGTGTTCTGTGAAGCGCTTTGGGACGTCCTCCCGACGTGAAAAGTGCTATATCAAATGCAAGGATTATTATTATTATTAAGGATTCAGTTGTTGAATCGCTTGCAGGTCGGTTGGTGTAAGTCTCGCTGTTTGTGAAAAGATGTGAACATTGTGCAACACAGGAGGAGGAGGAGGAGGTGGTGGTGTTTTTTTTCCTATCGCCCACAAGTCTTACAACAAGTCTCTTTTGTTGTAATCCTGGCTGTTTTCTCCCGTCACCAGCATTTCGGCGGTGAAACTGATCTGATCCTATTTGAAATTCCGGAGATTGGGTTTTTATAAAATACTCAAGAAACTACAACTCAAAAGCATTTACTCAATGCAGTCAAATGTTTCTTGAAATGCAAATTGTGCATTTTCTGGGGCCATAAATATAAGGCTCCCTTTTCCCCCAAATCTTCTAATAAGCTTATAAATTTACCATGCGAATCAACTTGATCGATCAAAATGAAGTAAGAGGATGGGGTTGGGTCAACATTGAAAGCAGTGGAGAAGTGTGCTGCTGCTTACATTCCAACTTAATGGGAAAAACACCTGCGCTGCACATCTAGTTCAGATAGATAGAAACACAGTTTAGTCCCTTGATAGATCGCTTTCCGGGGGTAATAATCCCTTTTTTTTAAAAAAAATTGGGTCACTCAATCCACCACTGTTTGTGGGATGCTGCTGTTTGCAATTGGCTGCCACTTTTCTCTCACATAGTGTACAGTCAATTCACTTTATAATATACTCTGTGAAGTGCTTTGAGGCATCTCAAAGATGATATAATAATCCTTGCGGAGTCCTGTAGCTCAGTGTTTAAAGCACCCAAGAAACTGCAGTTCAAAATTATTGCATTTGATATAGCACTTCATATTTTCTACATGTCTCAAAGTGCTTCATAGAATAGACTGTAAAATATATTTGTGGGCGAAATGCAGCAGCCAATTGCGCACAGCAGTGTCCCACAAACAGTCGTGGATTGAAGTGACCAACTTATTATTGTTTTGTTTTGGAGGGATTACTATCAGGCATGAGGAGTAAGGAAACCTTTTTTTCATCCTGCTGGGAATCGAACCCAGTCTCTCGCTTGCAAAGCAAATACTTTAACCACTGAGCTACAGGACTCCAAGATGTGATAAGCCTCAACACGATGGGGAGAAAGTGCTGTTTTACTTTTCAACCCTTCCTTTTTTTTCTTTAGGGGCCTTGTGTCACACACCATTATAACATTAATATTCCTTGTATTTGCTATAGCACCTTATTAAGTTGTCGTGATGTGTTGTCAGTGCAGTGACAGTATTTTCTAGGCACACGGGGCAGCCAATTTGCCCATAGCAGTCGTAGAAATAGACATGAAGAGAATATCCAGTTTTAATGTCATTGCCTTACTATATGGGTTACTATTTCTCAAGCCTCTGCCCTAACTGCCCTTGAGGTGGCTACTGGGAACCTGAATATGACCTGGCTGTTGTCCCTTTCTGAGTTTTAGATTTGCTTTCCTTTTCCTGATTGAAGAAAATCACCTACAGAATGCACAGACATTACACTATAGTAAACTCCTGAAGTGCTTTGAGACATCCTCTCATCATGAAGGTGATGTATTAAATGCAAGGATTATTATTGTTGTTACTATAAATCAACCTTTGTCTAATTTCCTCTACACTATCTGGCTGAACTGAGTTGCAGAACTCACTACATTGAAAACTGTAGTAATAATAATCACTTTCTGGGGTAATAATTCCTCCAAAAAGAAATTGGTTACTCAATCCATAACTCTTTGTGAACGTTGCTTTGCACAATTGGCCGCCACGTTTCGCCCACAAGAAACATAGTCACTCCACTTTGCAGTATAATGTGAAGCACTTTGAGTCGTGATAAGGCACTATATCAAATGCAAGGATTATTATTACTGTGAATCCAAATCTAAATCCTATCGCTCTTGAGTGGAACACATTAATAATCCAGATCATTGAGGCACTAATGCTGCTTTTATACTGGACATTTTGTGATGAGTCATTCATTTTGCCAGTATTTCACAGGCAAGTGTATAATATAAACAAGATCTGACAGGTTGAATCATCAGACCTGCTCCTGACACCACGTGGAGGAGGTGGTTGCAGGAGCATAGCAATCCTCAGCTGCAGCAGTTCATATTGGAATGGACTCGTTCTCCGATCTCTGACCATCCTTTGATTACAGTGGGAACTTTTAATGAACTTTTTTATAGTTGTTTAACATTCGCCTAAAAATTACTCGTCATTACACTTTATAGTAATTCCTGTGAAGCGCTTTGAGACATCCTCCCAACGTGAAACTTGAGTGCTCGTTTTCTCTCTGACCACAGTTGACTTTTTGAAGTAGGAAGCGTAAAGCCCATCTTATCCTTGCACAGCAGTGTTTGTATAGCCGAGAGCAAAGCTCCTTCATTCCCAGTGATATCACTGCAGCTTAAGAGTATTGTACTGGGTTACAGATTCATAATAATGCAGAGCTGGATCAAAGTAAAATCCCATGAGTAGAACCTTCAGCATTTCAGAATCTCCTGAAAAGTGTTCCCTTGTAGTGCTCATTTCAGCACAGTTCAGGTTCCAGGGACTTTTGATGTGTGCAATTTAATTCCACTTCACCTAATTGTTTGCCTTTTTAAGATGCTCCAATTTTAAAATCGAAAAATTGGATTTTTTTGATGGGAATTGTTTCCTTTGTTCAAAGAACAAGTGTAGCGCAGGTACATCATGATGCACAGCTTGGGGTGTGGGAACCAAACGATAAAACAAGATCAGCTTTGTTCCAGTTTTTCATACTTTACCTTTTAAAGGGACACAACCTTCAGGAAGGAACTTCTCATGTGTTTACAAACGCACAATGCAATGAAGTCACATGGAAAGAGATGCTCTCCTGCCTGCCTGCCCACAGTCTCGTTACAATGATGAAAATTATGTCTTGCCGTTCTGCTTCATCCAACATTTCAAACAAATCCAGAAAGAAATGAGAGACTTGCAGGAGGCTTTTTTTTCAGGCAAAAGGTGCAGTTTATATCTCCCTTACCCCATCCCATAAAATTTGGTTTCAAAACATGGTTTTAACAAGAGCTCCGTAACTATTTTTATACTGAATGCACAAGAACAAAATATACATTCACTACAATTTACAGTAAACTCTGTCATGCGCTTTGAGACATCACAATGATGTGAAAAAAATGCCACATCAAATGCAAGGATTATTTATTGTTTATTACCATGAAGCTCAGGAGCTCAACAAATGTGATGTTGTGATATTAATTTTTTTAGCCACATTTACGTTCCATCTGATGTGACTACTGATCTGTTAATGTAGAGGTGAAGAAGTGTCTTGGTCGGCTCATTGACACGTGATCGGAGAGGTGGGACATCTTTGCTGCTTCTAATTTATTATTCCAATTTTATAAAACCATTATATTTGAAAAGTTTGTTCTTCAGCAGATACTTTTGTGACAGCAGTCACCAGGGCAATGTGACAGTGATGCTTTTGTTGAAGTTATTTCTGGGGTCTAAGCTTGCCTGAAAATTTCTGTAGCAACACCCATGTTAATTATTTCCACTGCAGCAGAGTCAGCAATCGCTGGAATTTATGCTAGGGCAGGCATTTTAGAAACGCGTGAAAATATTTGTCCTGTCCTCTAGTTTACTGATTACGGTGCTTGAGAACCAGTTCTCAAATAGCCTGAGGCTGCTGGTAACTGAATTCTAAATAACTTTCCTTGGTAGTATTGCAAGCCAGCAACCGGATTTTGCAGGTGTTAAGCATTATTTGTGACTTTTTGGGTCAAGTCATGATCTGTGGGCAAGTTCTAAACCGGTTAGCAATACATATGCTGAATTGCCTGCCTGATAGGACAGGCTGATAGTTCAGCTCAGTTGCTGTTCCATTACCTCTGGAGGTGGGATAAGGACATTCATTATCTATTTCATAGTCCTACCACTGGTTTAAATTAAAAGGGGGCAATTAGTTTAAGAGAAAATTAAACATATAATTAAGCAACTGGAATGAAGCTTAACTGTTCAATGCACTTGTATAATGTGGTTTGTTAATGCAACCAAGACCTTACGCTCGTGTGATTGACACAATGCACCACTTGAGTCCAAAATAGTCAAAAGCTCTGGTGTTATTTGGTGGCCACCAGCATCTGCGTTCACATAGATCA